CTGATTGCTGAGGAAAGCATAATTAATCAGAACAGCCTCTGAGGATGAAATGTTGTGTCCATTAAATTAAGTTTCCTCCAAGTATCATGCCCTATGAGTGACACATTGCAGCAATTTTCATTCCCTGGAAAGGATCAACACATTCTGCCTTGGGTGTTTCCTTAGTGAAGGCTTCGTTTATCATCAACAGCTTTGAAGTAACAGATATACTGCTGAAGTCCAGAAGTTGCCCTTACCCTGCGCATACAGATGACACAGTATTCCACTGGGCTTAATTTCCACATAGCATTGTTCTGCTGATATAGACGACTGTCCAAAACCTTCTACATCTAATTCTGCCTACTTATCTTCCTGTTAAGGTTGTGGTAGCAGAATAATTACTCTCTGGATGTCTCACCTCTTGCACAGACTAGGAGAAGTCACTCACAATGGCACGTTGGTTGGTTTGTTTATCATTTCTTAACAGTATTTAGCATTTCCCCCTTGCCTACCAGGATCCAGTTCCAGAAATAAAAACAATGGTAATCATCATCATCCTCTTAGCATTGCAGAGCTAGGTCAGGTCCAGTCCCTGTCAGGGAGGCACAGTGGGCAATCAAGCTCCCAACTTCTGGCTCCACAGAGACTGGCAAAACATTAGGAAGAACAACCTTCAGAACAGGGCCAAAGAGCCCAAAACACCCACAACAACCATCAGATCCCAGCCGTGAAACCCTTCAAAAATATATTGAAAATATATTTTTCTCTTTTAAAAGGAAATATATTAAAATCAATGTTAAAAGCCAACTTTGAAAACCAAAGGCTAAACAGAATAAAAGCATTCTGGCCACCCACCAGCTTCTTGACAAGGGAGGAAGACATCCCAGCTTCCCTTGAGAGCAAGATCTACAACTTGATGCTGTTGCAGAGAAAGTGATTTTTCCTGTATCCATCCATCCTAGCCTCTTGGAGCAACATGGGACACCAAAGAGGGCCTTCTCTTCAAGATTTTTAAATACTCTTGTGGGAAGAGGCTTTTCCCCCTACTCCCTCAGATATCCTGGCCCTAAGCCATTGAAGGTATTATAGATTTTTTTAAAAAAACAATACAACATGTGGATGTCTGTCAGTATTACAGGTATTATAGATTTTTTAAAAAAACGATACAACATGTGGATGTCTGTCAGTATTACTTTCATCTCAGTGGGAGGTGCATTCTGATACCCATTCGAATGCAAATAATATATCCACAATGATGGCATGAAATTAAAAAACAAATGTCCACAAACAACTATGGAGCCATCACATGCAAATTTAGGGCCTGGCTGTTTCCTCAGCACTCAATTTACCATTTCAGACACTTTGAAAGGGACCAGGTCTTTCCAAAGGGCAGAAAGAACGCAGGATGCAGTTGTGAGAATTGGTGTCATGTCAGCATCTATCTGCTTTTCTGATTCATTGGTGACCACAGTTCTAGATAAAGTTAGCAGCCATATATGGAGAATGTAAGGTCCAGCTTGGTGGCACAGACTAACTCAAAGCTATTATTAAAATGTTAATTTCATGGACAGAGATAAGTAACAAGAGAATGTGGCACTGGTGTATCCCCTGAAATGAGGACTGCTCATGATGGGAGAGGTGGATACCTCCCCTCAAAAGTGGGCTGAGCCCCCTGCCCCCATCCCAGTCCATGAGCAGTCAATGACTTGTGGGCTTACATGGGTGAATATTTTTTTTTGTCAGACAAGTCAATGAAAAGAATGAGGAGGACAACTGCATCTCTACTGGGAGAGAATTCCATAGCTGAGGGGCCACCAGTAAGAAGGTACTGCTGGATATTGTTGGCCTAGACTCATGAAGGGCAACATGAACAGAAGCTCTTGAATTCTGGGTTAATTGGCACTGGGAAAACTGATCTTATGAGTTATTCAGGGCTTTCTGTGGTGAGGAAATGGTAGTTAATAAATTACTCACTTTTGTCCATTGATGCTGTGTCGAAGATACAAGACACCTAGCTAAGGCATTTTGAAACCCCATTAGATTCCTCACCCCAGGCAAAGATTTAGGTCCCAACTGAGGACTAGGAAGGATGAAGAGGAAACTATTGATGGTGATCTTCAATAAACAAATGAACAAACAAAAAAATTCCTGATAGATGGTATCTGATCTCACTTTAAAAACCTCCAATGAAGGAGAGTCTACTATCCTTTAAGTCAGGCTATTCCACTTTTGAAGAGCTCTTAACTGTCAGGTTTTTACTAATGTTTAGGCAAAACCTCCTCACTTGCTAATTGAGTTTGTTTGAAGAGTTCCACAAAAGTGTTGTCACTAGAACAGCTCAGGCACAGAACTATTTCCAAGGTAGCAAATTCAGAAGGTATCTCCATCTAGATTCTTCAAGAAAGCTACGATGAGATCTCACCAGTATTCTCATTATTGTTTAGATAAATTTAGATAGATTAAAGGCCAGTGGTTCCCAACTCTAGATGTTCTTGGACTAAAACCCCCATAAGACGTCATCACTAGCTGTGCTGGCCAGGATTTCTGGGAGCTGTAGTCCAACAACACCTGGGGACCCAAGGTGGGGAACTACTGGTCTAGACCACTGGTTCTTAACCTTGGGTTACTCAGGAGTTTTGGACTGCAACTCCCAGAAGCCTTCACCACCAGCTGTCCTGACTGGGGTTTCTGGGAGTTGCAGTTCAAAAGCATCCGAGTAACAAAGGTTAAGAACCACTGGTCTAGACTATCAAGTGTCTTTTGACCTTCATGAGATTACATACATCCAGTATGACAGGATTAGAGCTTTCCCCCCTGCCCCACTGAGGTTTCTGTAATTTGTGCAAAAACGTATCTGCACAAATCTAGTGTCTCTTACATTTGTGAACAAGAACACACACAGTAATTGGATTAACTTTGCCCAAGGAATTGAAGCTTGGGTGGAAAGCTTGACTGAAGAGAAATCTGTTGCATTAACCAGCTGAAGCAAAATTACTCCAAAATTATTGGATACTTCATCGTCAGCATACCCAGGGGCTTTGGCATGAACACTGCTGAGTACTTGTAGAGTATCACTCTACAAAAAGTGGACATGTGTTTATTCTATGTGGTTTCCCCATTAGTGGTTATATCACAGTTGATATAAAGCTGTGTCTGAAAGGCTGCAATCTTGTGCCTATGTAATCTGGAGTAAGTCCCTGAAAACACAGACAAGTGCACACTGAGTAAATATATGTGGTGTGCCTCTGATATAGGAAATATCAGATTAGGGGTAGTTGATTTTGTTTGGTAGGGAAGATACAGTACAATGGGTATCTTTGGTGGGGTAACAATCCACCACAAGTGTGTATGAGGAGAAATTCCTACAAAATTTAAAATAATAATTAAATTAAGAAGGTTGCAGGAATGGCCCAATCCTGCTTTGTCAGTGCCTGTTAAGCTTCCTCCTATTAGAGAATTCAGTGGGTCACTTCATGCATCTAACACATCCCCCACCTGCGGTGTGTGTCCAATATTAGCCTACTTGAGGGGAATGTGATAAAGATGATGACAGCAATGTTTTTTTTCTGACTAGAGGGTCATAAGAATTCCATTTCAGTTCATTTTTAATCAGCACTTATAAACATTAGCATAATGTGAATCTGAGAAAAGATGAAACACTTAGCCCATTCCCCTGTTTGTTTTGTTGTATTCATTACTTTTATATCCACCTTCCTCCACTGAGCTCAAGGTGATGTCTGTGAGTCTTCTGGTTTCCCACTTTATCAGTGCAACCGTTCTGTGAGGTAGGCCATGCAGAGAGAGATTGTGACTTGCCCAAGACGATGCAATAAGTTTTATGGTTTCTTGGGCACTTGAAACCAGTCCTCCTAATTCCCAGACCAAATACTCTAAACCTTGTGTTTCCCAGCCTTGAGTCCTCAGATTAAAGCTCCCAGAAGCCTTTGCCACTAGCTACCTTGAGTCCCCAGATTAAAGCTCCCAGAAGCCTTTGCCACTAGCTGTGCTTGGCAGGAGTTCTGGGAGTTGTAGTCTAAGAACCTCTGGGGAACCAAGGTTGGGAAGCACTGCTCTAGTTGCTACCTTAGGCAGGCTTTCTCACGCTGTTGTTGGCAGGAGTTTTGAGACCCAAGGTTGGGAAGCACTGCTCTAGTTGTTACCTTAGGCAGGCTTTCTCACGCTGTTGTATTCCATGTCATCAAACTGCAGTCTTGTGTTATGGAAGTTGCCTGCATTTTCTCTGAATAGGCAAAAGTTTCTAGAGTTGAAGGGCAACGGATTTTAACAAACTTTACCCTTAGATTACAGTTCCATGTCTTTGCTCTCCAAAATCCAGCCGTCACTTGAGCGGTTAATAAAATCTATTGCCTTCCGGTGAATTTATTTGTTGTCAAGTAGGAGTGATCTGTCCTCCTTGTGATTTGTGAGATGGCATGAAAAGAAGAAGAGGTAATCGAGATTTCGGGTGCCTGTGAAAGGACTTCACTGTGTCGTTCCTTTTTTCCTTCCTTCCTTTCTTTTTTTGGAGCACCCAAAGGCTGCCCTAACTACTCCATCGATTTACCAAAAAAAGTAAAGCATTCTTGATTCACCTTTTAATAAGGAGGGCTTTTCTTTAGGCATCCCTTTTCTGAAAAGTGGTTATTTCCTCCAGCACAAATGTGTTCTTTCTGCAGGAGGCAAATATCTCTTTCCAGAAATCCATAACCAAAAACAAAACAAAAAAGTGCTCTCTGAAGACATTACTGTACTTATATACACTAAAGGAAAATATTTCTTGGGGCACTGTGTTTGGCAGTGGGTGCTTGCCCGAGATGTGGGATGCAAAATCGAGGATGATTTGTGAAGAAATCATCCTTGTAAAGCTATTGGTTCTGGTCATCAGCCTTTATCCAATGCTTTGGTGGTGATGCTGCTGCTCTATTTGGGAAGTTGGCTGGCTCTCAAGGCAGTCTCTCTCTCTCTCCCTCTCTCTCTCCCTCCCCTGCTCTCCCTCTCTCTCTCTCTCTCTCCTCTCAAAGACTGTTCCACAGTGAAAATATGCTCAGTGCAGCTGAGTGCATGAATGAAAAAGCCTCGGGTGTCTTCTAGGAAAGCAAAATGCAGCACAAGACTCAACTTGTCCTGGCCTTCCTCCTGTCCCAGGTAAGGAATCTGGTGCTCGGGTCTTGCGGGTGCATGTGTGTGGTTTCTGGAGAAAACAAAACCTCTCCAGATCTCATTTTTCTCATGGTGTCTTGTGCGTCGGGCTAGCTCGGATTCCTCGGCGATCGTCCGCCAGATAGAAACATTGCTTGGCAGATGTGAAGGAAAATCTCCTTGATGAGAAATGAGTCTGTGGTTCCTAGTGAGGGGAAATTAGCTACCTAGTGTGTGTTATGTGTGTGCAGACAGACTGTATTTTCTTCATAGCGGAGGAGAGACAAAATCTCTCAAGTGTGCCTCGGTAGTAGCAGTAAGATTTTTCTGTTCCGATGCTTCAACTTTGATTTGCTTCTTCTCTCTCGGCAACGGCTTCTGCCAGGGTCTGTGACAAGCCGTTCATTGTATTTATTACACTCCTTGCTTTAAATGAGGGGGGTGGGTGGGCGGATGATGAGGAAGACTATTTTAAAAACAGAGCATGTAGAGCGGAGTGCCGTCTGAAAGGTCTTTCTCCTGCCTCCCCCTCCTCCACCCATCGGAAGCTTGGAGGGGTTTTGTAAAATGTTGAGCATGGGTGACTTGGGCATGATAGCTGCCCCCTTTCGTTTCGACTGTAATAGATCCCTCCCTTCTTCCAGAGAGGCAGCCTGGAGGGCAGGAAGACACCCCCTCCCTCCCCAGCCTTTAAAAAGCCAAGGGACTGTGTAGTCTTGCTGTTGCTGTCAGTCAAACCCTGAAGAACGCACTGGTGTCCAACTTCTGTATTCCCTCTCCGGCTTCCCCGCCAAGAATGTGATACAGTTTTCATTTTAGAAGGTGGTGCATGGGAGGTGTTTTTTAAAAGATTCCATTGGTGACATGATGCGTTTCTATCTCGCCGCCCCCCCTCCCTCGTTTTTGGCTTTTCTTACCTTAGAAGCTTCAGCTTCTATTCATACAAGGGTCTTGTTGGGTTCCTGGAAAGCCCGTCGTGGTACTCCAGAGAGGTTAAAGTTAATTTCCTTTTGGCGTGCAGGGCAGCCAGTTGAGGGTGGGCGGAGGGACTTGCTTTGGCTTTAAACCTGGAGGTTGTGCGGGGAGGGGGGAGGTGAAAGACACCCCAGACAAGGCATTCTTTCACAGGGCTATGTGTGCCTATGGACTGCATCCAAAGACTTAAGAGTTAGACTTACAGGAAGCTGACTTACAGCAGGTCAGAGACTCTTTGCCTATCTGGTCTATCATTGTCTGTTCCGACAAGTAATGTCTTTCTTAAGTTCTCAGCCAGAGTGAGATTTCCCTGTCATCTAACATCCGGTGCTGTCTTTTTTTTTAGTAAGAGATGCTACTAAGCTGTGACTGTCTACCTGCAGAACAAGTGCCCTACAACTGAGCGGTGGCTCCTCTCAAGCCCTTAACATTTTTGTCACATAGAAGAGGTTGCAAAGATTTGACTTTCCTATGACTTTTAAGTCCTCACTTTGTACCTGCTCAACGCAAGGGATTCCATTCCGGTGCATAGTCTAGGGACCAAGCAGAGAAGACTTGCATACATACAAGTTCATTTTTGCTAAGAAGGGCTATGGATCAGGGATCATGTGAAATTACGATGAATTTTCTTATTTTAGCATGGTCATGGATTTTGCAGGGTTTTTTTTTCTCCTGGGGTGAAGATCAAATTCTGTCATTTTTGACACTTAACCCATCTTCTGAAGCTAGAGAGTTGGCTTTCTGATTAGACGTGGCACCATATCTTTTGAAGGGTAGAGGCCCCTGGTTCATATCCTTTGGTTCTGCTTTTAGATCTACACACTGACGTTAGGGGGAGAAGGGCTGCAGAACACTGACTAGCATGTCTTTGGAGATCTTCACAGTACTGCAAGACTCAAATGTTCATCCGAAAAGCCTTGGATTGGATTTGCTAGCCAATGTTGTTGTTCCAACTTATATACCACCCCATAGTGCTAGAGCACTCTCTGGGTGGTTTACAACATAGATATGCAAACAACAACTTGCCCCTCAGTGAGCTGGGTATTCATTTTATTGACCGAGGGATGGAACCTTGAACTGACTATCTGAACCTGTCCAGATCAAGCTCAGGTTACGAGCAGAGGCTTGACTGCAGTACTGCAGTTTAGTCACTGCACATGGTGCTCAGATGCCTTGGAATGACCCGAAGGCAATGAAAACTGAGTAATGTTGTGGCCTTGGTTCCGTAACACTTGGATGTGGAGGTGATGAAAACATTTGCAGTTGCAGTTGCTCTATAGAAGAATGAAGAATGCAAAGATATAATGAAAGTGTATGGATGGAATGCAGTAAAAAATCAGCTCCTTTACTGTTTACTTTTTTACTTTTTACTTTTTTTTTGCAACCACCCAAGTACATTTATGCACTTTAGGACATAAAATGAATGTATACATTTTGGCATTGCTGCTTGTAGCCTTTAAAAAAATGGAGTGGGTGTCAAATGTGCCTTTCCATCATGCACAGCTTGGCTCAGTTAGCAGAGTTACCTGCTTTGGAATCAGCTTGGTTATCCTTTCTATTCTTGAATTGTTGTACACACTCTGATTTGGCAAATTGCCCTTTAAGGTTTCTGTAGGTTGGCCCTCTCACTTGGACTTTTCAGGACGCTTGGAAGAACAAGAAATAGAATGGGGAAGAGACAAGTAGAATAGGGGAGACAAGCAAAAGTTATAGAAAATTAGCTTAAATCAGGGTTTTGTTTTGGAGATTCTACCTATTATGATCACCTTGCCCAGAAGTCAGGCATAAAACCTGGGTTTTTACATCTGCTCATTTGTCAAATACCAAGAGCAGTGATTCCCAACCATGGGGTAAGCCAACTCCCAGATCCCTTCACCATTAACTATGATGGCTGAGGTTTCTCGAAGTTGCATTCCAAGAACACCTGGGTTATCCAAGGCTGTGAATCAACAAGAGTGATTGAGCCTTTCCTGTCTTATTTTTCTCATGCTATAGTGAAGGATATTTTTGATTAACAGGTATGATGGTGTTTGCTTCTACCTCAACACTATGCTGTTGTGATTTATCTCTGTTGTAATGCAAAGTATTTGGGAATGGCTTGGTCTTGAATTAGCAGTCTTGGCCCATTAGCTTTACAAAAGACCTACTCCAAGCAGGTATGAGAACTGCTAGAACTGATTTGCTGATGTGGATTGATGCAACTGTTTGAATTTTTGGACCTTCTGTGGAGATATGAATCAACTACTGCCCCTTTGCATGTGGGTGAGTTGTTGATCTTGTGGTTCTCTTGTATTATCAGTATGGCATGTGCAGAGGAAAAGCAGTCTGATTTCCCCACCCTCTTGCACATCATGTGTGTGTGTGTTCTGTGCCGTTAAGTCAGAATTGACTTACGGCGACCCTAATAGGGTTTTCAAGGTTATTGAGATATTTAAGGAATGGTTTTACGAGTTCCACTCCTCCAGTGCATTTCCAGGGCCAAGTGGGGATTCAAACCCTGTTCTCCAGAGTCCAAGTCCATCGCTCTATCCACTACACCACGCTGGGAATCCTTGGATGTCATAGAGCCTGCAAATTAAGATCCACATTCTACCATGTCCAAAATACAGTGTGTTTTTTTGGGAACACTGGTGCATAGAATAGTCTTCTGTGACTCAGGACCCTGTCCTTGCTCTTTCAGGGGCAGAACCCGATGCTGGAATGAAAGAAGCAACAGAAAACCAGACTATCTCTGAGAAAATACAAAGTGATCTTCCTTGCTAGCACACCAGAAAGGGGAGGGATGGAGTTTGCAATGAGGGCAGGAAAGTTTTAGTCTACTACTGTAGATCAGTGGTTCCCAACCTTGGGGCCCTTATCCAGAAAAGAAGGATGCTATCCGAATCCAGTCAAGTGGATCTTATTTCATCATTGGTCTTACACGTCTTTATGTATCTTCTACTGTATATCTTGACTTGCTGGACTTTATTTGTTTGTAGGTTCCCAGTTACTGCTTTATTTTATTATGCCAATAAAAGTATGATGAGGGCGATGAACCTTGGCCCTCAAATGTTCTCGGACTGCAGCTCCCAAAAATCCTGTCCAGCACAGTTAGTGGTGAAACCTTCTTGAAAGTTTTAGTCTAAGAACATCTTGGGAGTCAAGGTTGGGAACCACTGCTAGCTGTTTCAGAGTTCAGGTTCCAAAAGCCTCAGCCAATGTCGGGTGGGGGGTATGCAATTTTAATTCACTGTATCTGGAGGGCCAGATGTTTCCCCAGCTTTAGCTAGCTCAGCTGAGCAGGAAGTTGGTGTTCTTTTGGAAAGCAATGACAGGTTGACCACAATGTTATATTTAAAATGGATCTCATTATGTGGTGGACATACTGAAAGAAAGAAGCGTTGAGGAGAAAAGGGTTGTTGTTAAAGAGGCTACTCAGGTGGATCGTCTCAGTCGGATGTTAAAAACTTTCTGGGCAGCAGGGGAAGCAAGTAGGAGAGGATGGGAGAAGTTACCTGTCCGGCGCCATCTGGCAAGGTTCATGGTGTCCAACACCTTGGGAAGGCGATATTTTTCTCTTTCTCAGCAGCTTCCACAATTCATGCCTTGATATCCGGCAAGTGGAAATGGCAAACATTGATCTTGATCAACTGATTTATAAGACATACAAATCTGTTCCCTTCCAGGCAAGAGTATAATTCAGGTTAGAGTTAACGACCTAAGTTTTCAGTCACAATGACATTTTGTGCAAGAGTTGCAGGCCCATATGGAATCTAAAGATAGAGAATATTACTCAATAGTAAAATCCCCTTACCCTAACTCTATGAGTTGATTTCTGACACTTTTTGTCATTCAAGATTACTAAAGCTAGAAGTTCCTTTTTTAAAAAAATACGGCTCCCAAAAACCCCTTCCGTAGGGGTTTCATGGAGTATGCTGTGTTTAGGGAGATGTAATCCATATAAGTAGCAAGTTCAAGGCAAAACAAAGTCTAGTAGGTGATGTGAAAGCCATAGCAATGTGTGTGTGTGTTGAGGGGAGGACACATG